TTTTTTTTGTTTTAGTATTTTGAAGTTGACCAATTGTTACTATAAGCAATTAATGATTATAGATGATCTGCACCGTTCACTTTATTTTGTTGATACATATGTAAACTCAACAAGTCGGTTTTGGCCTAACTTAACCAAAAAGGTTCACCCTTTTTTTTTACTATTCAAAAAATTTGATAAGTCAGTCAATCATGATAAGCACTAAGTCAGTCAATCACTTAGCCCAAGTATAATTAAACTCTTTAATGGTAACACAAATTAAAGTTTTGATCATTCTTATTGGTCAATTTAACGATCAGCATCAGTCAATCGACCAACTTTTAAAGAAGATTTTACAAAAACCACAAGGACAACAACCAGATTTTTATTTATAGATTAATCAGCTGAATCTCAAAGATCATTTTCGTATTAAAAAGTGATGCCCTCAGAATAAATTTTTTATATCAGAAAAATTTTATCAGCAATCAATAGCTAATTAACCATTTAAGGGATAATAAATTTGAATTTTCTTATGCTCATAATAAATGGAATTAATGGATAAATCTATATAAAATATTGAGAAAATCATCTATAATTAATAGATACATTCACATAACAATTTAGTACCATTTTCCCCTTCATATGTTTTTCCTGCAACCTTTCTTATAATCAGGTCACCTCTTCTATCCACCAGTTTCTTAGATAATTTGTTTGTTGAAGCAACACACCTATCTCTATTTTTTCCAGCAGATGATGAAATACTTGACAATTCCCCTCTTTTATTAGGGAGAATTAAATTAATTAAATTGAGGGGAGAAAAAAACATAATTTTTAAATGATAAATAAGGCTCCAAACAGATCAGATCAAACCAGATCAGGTAATTCTCAGATCAGATCAGATTTCAGATCAATAATTTTAGTGTCACATCAATTTATATTTTGGCGCAATAAGCATAATGGACATCCTATTTATCACAAAGTGACAAAATTGAACATCGATCTTTTTTATATTGTGAAACAGAAATT